GAGAGAGGGAGAGTGTCTGAGAGTGAGAGGGAGAGTGTCTGAGAGTGAGAGGGAGAGTGAGAGTGAGAGGGAGAGTGTCTGAGAGAGTGAGAGAGAGAGGGAGAGTGTGTGAGAGAGGGAGAGTGTCTGAGAGTGGGAGGGAGAGTGTCTTGAGAGTGGGAGAGAGAGAGAGGGAGAGTGTGTGAGAGAGAGAGGGAGAGTGTCTGAGAGTGAGAGAGAGGGAGAGTGTGTGAGAGAGGGGGGGAGAGAGGGAGAGTGTCTGAGAGTGGGAGTGAGGGGGAGAGTGCGTGAGTGAGGGGGAGAGTGCGTGAGTGAGGGGGAGAGTGTGAGAGTGAGGGGGAGAGTGTGAGTGAGAGAGGAGTGAGAGGGGGAAGGTGTGTGTCAGGAAGAGAGGGGGGGAGAGTGTGAGAGAGGGGGAGTGTGTATATGTGTGAGAGTGAGGGGGAGAGTGTGAGTGAGTGAGAGAGGGGGAGTGTGTATATGTGTGAGAGTGAGGGGGAGAGTGTGAGTGAGTGAGAGAGGGGGAGTGTGTGTGTGAGTGAGAGAAGGGGAGAGTGAGAGAAGGGGAGAGTGTGAGAGAGGGGGAGAGATGTGTGTGAGAGGGGGGAGAGGTAGAGAGGGGTTTGTGGGCAGACAGTGTGTGTTTGCGAGTAAAACGGGATAGAGGGGGGAACAGAGAGTGAGTGTGTAGGGGAGAGGGAGGGATGAGAGAGATAAGAGTGTTGCTGGGTGTGTGGAGTAAGGAAACTTGCCCAAGGTTTCACCCCCGCCCGGGAATCGAACCCGGGGTCCTCTCGCTGGCGAGGCGAGCGCTCTCACTACCAAACTGCAGGATTTACTATATCAAAGCCACTGAGGCAATCGTAGGCAACCGTTTCCTCCTGTTCTTGCAGAGCGAGGTCAGGATCAAGTTCGAGCAAGAAGGGGAAAAGCGGTGAGTTCGCTGGGGAAAGCGGGGCCTGGGGTCACACAGGAGATAATAATAAAAATAATAATAATAATAATAATAATAATAATCCTCGCATTCGATACTGCGCTTTTCATGTTGGGAGGACATCCCAAGAGTGCGTCAGCGATTACACTGGCGGAGTGGACAGTAGGAGTCCTGTAGCTCGGTGGTTAGAGCTCTCACATCGTAAGCGAGAGGACCCCGGGTTCGATTCCTGGTCGGGGCGAGACCTTAGCCAAGTTTCCTTACTCCACGCACACACACCCACACCCACGCGCGCGCCTCTGTTTACCAGCAGTCAGTAGGATCGCTATCCGGGGGTAAATAAGCCCTTCGGAAAATAATAATAATAATAATTTGGTCACTCAACGCACGACTTGTTTGCGGGGACGGACGCTGAGCCCACAAAATGCACAGTCACTACCCTTTACAGTAATATATTCTGAGACGTCTCAACGACATGATAAGGCGTTGTATCAAATGCAAGGATTAATATTAACATTAACCTGAGATCCAAACAATGTACAGCACTTCTGACGGTACACACCCCAACCCCCACCCACCACCACCCCTTCCTGATGTTGGGGCTTGAACCCACAACCTTCAAAACAAACCCATTCGTGACCGTGTGAATTGGAGTTGAAGTGTCTCTTTCCTCTCTGTTTTTACCCCTGTCCATCTCTCACCCTTCTCTCTCTCCCCACCCCCTCGCCACCTTCTCTCACCCCCTCACCCCCCCACCCCTCTCTCCCCCCCAACCCCACCACTTCCCACCCCCAGGATCGTGCAGTTCAGTCGGCCTGTGTTGCTCAAGACTGTGTTTCAGAAGGCGACGGAGATATTTGGACAGCAAATGGACTTACATTTCACTGACAGCGAGGTATGTGCTTTAGCTCAGTGGTTAGAGCGCTCGCCGTGCGAGCGAGAGGACCCGGGTTCGATTCCCGGCCGGGCTGGTCAGGGTGAAACTTTGGCCAATAGTAGTCCCTTCAATAATACACAAATAATTCGGTCGCTTCAATCCAGGACAGTTTGTGGCGACGTTGCTGTGCGCAATTGGCTGCTGCATTTCGCCCACAAAATACGCAGTCAATTCGCTCTCCAGTATACCCTGTGGGGGGGAGGAGGGGGGGAATGGGATAGAGGTAGGGAGTTGCAGATGTTTGGGGGTGCAATGGCTGAAGGCACGGCCACCGATGATAGCTGGCGTCAGCACTGGCTAACGCATTGGCTATTGGCGCGAGGGGCCTTCCGCCTCTCTGCCCCCCACCTACCGGAACTCCATCCCTCAGTTCCCCCCACCTCGCCCCCCCCCCCCTCCCTCGCCACCTTCAAGACCCGTCTCAAGACCCTCCTCTTCGATCGTGCTTTCGATCGCCCTCCTTCCCCCCATTCCCCCAACACCCTCCCCGACCCCGATCTTTAGCTCGGGTCCAAACCTCTGTCTGTCCAGCGCCCGGGGACCTCCTCCCGATGCGACAGGCGTTGTGTATAAATGTGTTGTTGTGGTGGTGGTGGTGGTGGTCGGAGCTCACAATCGGTGCCTTTCAATCTCACAGTTTCGTATTCCGCTGCGATGTCAGAGCGATCTGGACAGAGCGGTGGAAAACTTGGACCTGAATTCAACCGCGAAGTGTCTGAGGATCTCGGTGTCTCCTCGGAAAACCAGCTATGTGGGTACTTCCTCTTACACTTGTGTCGTTCTGTAGCTCAGGGGTTAGAGCGCTCTCGCCTCGCAAGCGAGAGGACCCGGGTTCGATTCCCGGGGCGAAACCTTGGTCAAGTTTCCTTACGCCACGAGGAAGAATTTGGGGCAAGAGAGCGGGAGGGGAGTGGGACTGATTGGGCAGCTCTTCCAAAGAGAGGTAGAGATAGGGGTAGAGAGAGAGAAATGGGGGGGAATTGTGAATCCTCACCCTTCTGGTTCCTCTACCCCCCCCCCTTCCCCCGACTGACCAGCCGGGGACTGTTGAGGAATCGATCGAACCCCCGACTCCTGTTTTCCAGGTGAATATCAAAGCCATGGAGAAGCTTCCGGAAATCCGCACGGCCAAGTCCATGGGGGACCTCATGGGCTCGTTGTACACCTGCGGTGAACGTCATCGCAAACTCTCCACAGGTAACTCACCCCTCACCGACCGCTTCCATCTCTCTCTCTCTCTCTCTCTCTCCTTCATCTCGCTCTCTCTCTCTCTCTCTTCCTCTTTCTCTCCAGGTTCGCTGCACTCCGGACGGACATCCCCTCCTCCCGGGAGCATTCCCGACGGACAGCAACGGATTGCCCGGCAAGGCTCCTACACCAGCATCCACAGCGAGGGAGAATTCATCCCAGAGAACCCGGATCTGAACGTAATCCTCAATCCCAAGCTCTCCCCGGAATTCTACAGCAAGAGAGGAGGCCATTCAGGGGCAGAGGAGAGAGAGAGAGGGGAGAGCAGGGAATGGGGTTTAGAGTAGAGAGCTCCGGTGGGGGAGCGAACCCCAGCACAGACACGATGGGGGGAGAGAGAGAGAGAGGGAGAGGGAGAGCAGGGAATGGGGGTTAGAGTAGAGAGCTCCGGTGGGGGAGCGAAACCCCAGCGCAGACACGATGGGGAGAGAGAGAGAGCAGGGAGTGGGGGTTAGAGTAGAGAGCTCCGGTGGGGGAGCGAACCCCAGCACAGACATGATGGGGGGGGAGAGAGAGAGAGAGAGAGCTGGGAATGGGGGTTAGAGTAGAGAGCTCCGGTGGGGGAGCGAACCCCAGCACAGACACGATGGGGGAGAGAAGAGAGTGAAGAGAGAGCAGGAATGGGTTAGAGTAGAGAGCTCCGGTGGGGGAGCGAACCCCAGCACAGACATGATGGGGGAAAGAGAGAGAGAGAGAGAGAGAGAGCAGGGAATGGGGGTTAGAGTAGAGAGCTCCGGTGGGGGAGCGAACCCCCAGCGCAGAAAGTAGAGTTTTCTCACAATTGTCTCTCTCACAGGTGTTGGAGCCTTTCAGCAGTGCAGACACCTCGTTGTCGGGCAGCTGTCAGTCTCTGGACAGATCCATCGACAGGTAAATAACCCTCTACCCCGACACCGTTGTGGAGTCCTGGAGCCCAGTGGTTAGACCGCTCCCCTCGCGAGAGAGAGGACCCGGGTTCGATTCCCGAGCAGCGCGACATCTCAGGAAAGGTTTCTTACTCCGCACACTCACCACGCGCACACACGCGCACACACACACCACACGCACGCACACACACACACACACCACGCGCGCACACACACCACGCGCGCGCACACACACCCCATGCGCACACACATTCACCAGGCACACACACCATGCGCACACACACATGCACACACACACACCCACTACGCACGCACACACTCACATACACCCACCCACGACACACGCACCACACACACACACCACGCACGCGCACACGCCCACACACCACACACACACACGCGTCAGCAGTCGGCAGGAACCCGCTTGTTCGACGGTTGGCGCTTTAACGAGGGTAAGAACCGCTCCCAAATAGTGCGGTCCCGACCGTTTGTGGGGGGCGCTGCTGTGCGCAGTTGCCCGCCCCGTGTCAACCGCAAAAGATACCCAGTCACTTCGCTTTACGGTGTATTCCATGAAGCGTTTGGCACGTCTCAATGGCGCTGTATCAAATGCAAGGATTATTATTATTATTATTATTATTATTATTATCGACAACTGCTGCGAGACTGTAACACCCGACTGCCGGGATGGCGGCGTGCGAACCAGGTCGGACGTTGGCCATTTTTGATCACCCGGCGATGTGTCCCGTTTCCTGTAAGGATGACCTGATTCTCCTCTCTACCCACAGCCCGTCGTATAACCAGCCTGGAATGGGAAAGACAGCCGCGTATCTGGAAGATTCCTTCAACTTTCCGGGTAGGAACGACGATGGTGGAGGGGACGGGCGGGCGGGCGGCCGGGGGTGAGGGGGGTGGGGGTTTGCGGAGAGGGGAACGGGGAAGTGCGGGGGGGGGGATGTCACCAGGAGAGTTGTGGCGGGTGGTGTTGGGGGTTTCAGACTGTCGGAAACGTCGGAAACCTCAATCCACCGTCACTCAATCCACGACTGTTTGCCGGACGCCGCTGTGCGTCACTGTCTGCCGTGTTTCACCCACGGTCACTCCTCTACGCCCCTCTCCTACACGCCCCCCCCCCTCTCTCTCTCTCTCCCTCTCCCCCCCCTCTCTCTCAGCCTTTGTGTATCTGTTGTGTGCACAGCTTTAAACAGAGCAGAATGATGTAATGGAAAAAAATGGGAGTAACTCCAATCGTGTCCTGGCAGTTGACAGTGATTCCTTCCCTGTTCGCTCCGCTGTCACTGCCAAAGCTCTTGCCTGCTACGTCAAAGTGTCTGGGCGTGCGTGTGTGCATGTCTGGGTGCGTGCGCGTGTGCACGTGAGCGTGCGCATGTATGCGCGTAATTGTGTGTGTGTGTCCACGAGTATGTGTGTGAGCGTGTGTGGGTGCATTTGTGTATCTGTGTTTGCGTGTGTGTATGTGTGTGTGCGCGCGCGCATGTGTGTGTGTGTGCGCGCGCGCGCGTGTGTGTGTGTGTGCGCGCGCGTGTGTGTGTGTGAGCGTGTGCGTGTGTGTCTGTATCTGTGTGTGTTTGTCTGCGCGCGCGTGTGTGTGTGTATGTGTGCGCGTGAGTATTGATTTACGTTCACACAAGTCACAGACAATAAAATAATCCTCCCGTTGATAACCCGTTAAAACCCTACAAGCCAAACCCCTAACTCACTCACTCACTCACTCACTCACTCACTCACTCACTCTCACTCACTCACTAGCGGGGAGGGTGATCCTAGTGGACAAGCAGCGGGGAAGCTTGGCCGAGCTGTGTGTGGGTTTAGTTGGTTACAACTGTCCAGCGCTTCGGGACGTCCTCTCGACGTGAAGGGCGCTCTATAAAGGGAATCTTGTTGTTGTTGTTGTTGTTGTTAGACTCCAGCAGTTACCCCAACGCACACTCTGGGCCCCCCCCCCTCCCCTCCCCTCCCCACCCCCCACAAGCCTTGGCTCTCGGAATTAGTCCAACAGGACATAATAATAATAATAATAATAATAATCCTTGCAGTTGACGCAGCCCCTTATGCCATTGAGACGTCTCAAATCGCTTCGCAGAATATACCGTTAAGTGGAGTGACTGTGCATTTTGAGGGTGAAACGCGGCAGCCGAAATTGCGCCCGGCAGCGTCCTCCCCCCCCCCCCCCCCCCCCCCCCCCGCAAACAGCCGTGGATTGAAGTGACTTCATTTATTTATTTCATTTCTTTTGGGAGGGATCATTAACCCCGTGAAAGCCATCCGCCAATCAACTGACAACCGGGTTCCTACTTACGTGAATTGGCGCTGTGTAATTGTAACTTGTTGTTGTCGTCGTCGTCGTCGCCCCTTTCTCTCACGACCTGACGCTCTGTGCTTCCGATCATCCTTTTTTCCCCCCCTCCATCCCAGGCTCCCACCCCCACCCCCACTCTCACCCACCCACCCCCTCGCTCACACCCCCAGCTCAGACACCCAGACTGTGTCAACCCTCTTGACATCTCTCCGTGCCGCATAGTTGCGCTGTGTGTACGTCATTGCGTGTCTAACGGAACAGGCTCGATGGGCTGAATGGCCTCCGATCCCTAATTGCAGGCGGTTCAGCCTTGTTGAGCTGATGTGGTCTGAATTCCTTTTAATACTCTTTTTCTCTCTCTCTCTCTCTCTATTTCTCGTTCTATTTCTCATTCCCTTTCTCTCTTGCTCTCTCTTTCTCTCTGTCTTCTCTTTCCTCTTTCTCCCTCTCTCTCTCCTCTCTCTCTGCGTCTCAGACTTAACGGCATCGTACTGCGATCGAGCAGGTAAAGGAGGAACGTACCCACGGCAGTACCTTGTCTCTCACGGTCGCAGGGATTACAGCAACGGTAAACGAGCAATTATTCTTATTTTATTTACAATTGTTATTTTGCTCGTATTTTATTTCATATCCCCTTTTTTTGGGGTGTGCGGGTGGGGAGGGGGGCGCGGAGGGGGGGGGTAAGCGAGGTCTCCTCGGAGCTGAACTGGCCCCAGGGTGACATGTTTGGCAACAGAATGTGGGTGTCGAGCCCCCACTCCCACCCTCTGTGCCGGTCTCTAGTCCCCGGTTCCCGAGCCAGGAGGGGCCGCAGTAATCTCAGGGCACTCGCGGCTGATGGCAGCACAGTGTGTGGTATCCCGGGCTATCTCTGTGTGTGTGTGTGTGTGTGTCTCTCTGGTATCCCGGGCTATCTCTGTGTGTGTGTGTGTGTGTCTCTGGTATCCCGGGCTATCTCTGTGCGTGTGTGTATGTGTGTGCGCGTGTCTCTGGTATCCCGGGCTATCTCCGTGTCCCTGATCCCGGTCACGTCCCTGTGTCTCCCAGGCCGTCAGACCTTCCCGAGGAGCTTCGCGTACCAGGAGAACCTGTTCCAGTTGGTGCCCTCAAGCCGGTCGATCAGCGTCAGCGGAGACCCCTCTGCTGGGACGCTGCTGTACGAGGACAGCCAGACCCTGCGCTGGGCCAGCGAGGACAAGAACTCCCTCAAACTGCACGAGCGTCACCTCTCCTCCATCTGTGAGTAGCCACGTGAGGGCAAAACCTTAGGCACGTTCCCTCACTCACACGCACGCAACACCACTCGCGTGCGCGCACACACCCCTCGCACGCGCACCCTCGCACGTACACACGCGCGCCCTCTGTTTACCCGGCGGTCAGTAGGAACCCAGTTGTTACCCGATCGGCATGTCGCTTTCTGGGGGTGGGGGGTGGAGGTGGTGGAGGGTGGAGGGGGGTGGAGGTGGTGGGGGGTGGAGGGGAGGGGGTGGAGGGGTGGAGGTGGTGGGGGGTGGAGGGGAGGCGGGGGTCAGTGTTTCGCCCACAAAATCCGCAGTCACCACACTTTACGGTGAGACCTCTATAAGTTTCGTATTCTCCTTCTCTCCCTCTCCCCTCTCTCTCTCCCCCTCTCCCTCTCCCCCCTTCTCTCTCCCCCCCTCCCTCTCCCCTCCCCTCTCTCCCCCCTCTCTCTTGCCCGCAGCACCTCACGCTCCGATCAACTGGCGTCTGGGCAGGTTCCTGGGCCGCGGGGCGTTTGGGGAGGTTTATCTCTGCTACGACGCAGACACGGGGAGAGAACTCGCCGTCAAACAGGTGCCCTACGACCCCGACAGCCAGGAAACCAGCAAGGTCAGCCGCAGACTGTCCGTCTGTCTGTGTGTGTGTCTGTGTGTCTGTGTGTGAGTGTGTGTACCTGTGTGTTATGTATTGTCTGTCTGTCTTCCTGTCTGTATGTGTGTCTATGTGTGTGTATGTATGTGTGTCTGTCTGGTTGTGTCTATGAGTGTGTGGGTGTCTCTGTGTCTATGTCTGTGTGCGTGTCTGTGTGTATGTGTGTCTCTGTGTGTGTGTGTGTGTCTGTCTCTATGTGTGTGTGTGTGTCTCTGTGTGTGTATCTGTGTCTATGTGTGTGTGTGCGTGTGTGTCTCTATGTGTGTGTGTCTCTATGTGTGTGTGTGTGTGTCTGTGGCTATGTGTGTGTGTGTGTCTCTATGTGTGTGTGTGTGTGTGTCTCTATGTGTGTGTGTGCGTCACTGTGTGTGTGTGTCTCTATGTGTGTGTGTGCGTCACTGTGTGTGTGTGTCTCTATGTGTGTGTGTGCGTCACTGTGTGTGTGTGTGTCTCTATGTGTGTGTGTGCGTCACTGTGTGTATGTGTGTCTCTGTGTGTGTGTGTGTGTGTCTGTCTCTATGTGTGTGTGTCTCTGTGTGTGTATCTGTGTCTATGTGTGTGTGCGTGTGTGTCTCTATGTGTGTGTGTGTGTGTGTGTGTGTCTTGGCTATGTGTGTGTGTTGTGTGTGTGTGCGTCACTGTGTGTGTGTGTCTCTATGTGTGTGTGTGTGTGTGTGTGTGAGAGCCTTTGACGGACTTTACTGTTTCTCCCACAAACTACACAGCACTGTATATTGCGTGAAGCCATTTGAGACGTCTCAATCAGGCGCCGTGTCACGTGCAAGGATTACTGGCATAATCATTGATGCATTGCCTTTCATTGTCGGGAAGGCGCCTCAGAGCGCTTCAAAGGATTCACCGTGAAGTGTAGTGACTGTGTATTGCATCGCAAACTGAGTGTGTCTCGCGCTGTACCCAATATCGGCCACGGAATGCGTTTGTCAATCATGGAGAATTTTTTTCCCCCTCCCACCCCCCCCCCTCTCTCTCTGTCTCTGTACCCCACCCCCCACACTCTCTCCCCCCTCCCCCACTCTCTCCTCTTCCCATCCTCTCTCTCTCTCCCCTTCCCTCCCTCTCCCCGTCTCCCACCCTCTCTCCGTCTCCCGCCCTCTCTCCTTCCCCGCCCTCTCCCACCCACGGTCCACACTCTCTCCCCTCCCCTCCCCTGCCCCCTCACGCTCTCTCTCTCTCTCTCCCCCCACCCCACCCCAGGAAGTGAGCGCGTTGGAGTGCGAGATACAGTTACTGAAGAACCTGAGGCACGAGAGGATAGTGCAGTATTACGGCTGCCTGCGGGACACCATGGAGAGGAAACTCTCCATCTTCATGGAGTACATGCCTGGGGTCAGTGACCTGTCTTTTGTGCCCCCTCGGTTAGAGCCCTCGCCTCACGAGCCGGAGCACCCGGCTTCGATTCCCGGGGCAGTGGGCGAAACCTTAGCCCAGTTTCCTTCCTCCGTACGCAGAACGGTTCGATCTCAAGGTCCTCGCACCTGTCCCTGGCGCACCTCCCTACCTCTCCGACTCTCGTCCCCTCCCCTCGACCGTCGACCTCCGCGCTTTGGCCGCCGCGCCCCGAGACCCTGGACCCCTTCGAGGAGCTTTGAGACGTCTGAAAAGCGTAATAAAGGCGCTATGTCGATCGCTAGGATTATGATTTATATTATTATAACACTCTCCCGCAAGCCTGGCCCTCGCACCAGAAGACCTTCCTCTTTGACCGTGCTTACGGTCACCTTGCCCACACCCCGACATCCCCCCTCACCCCCCCTCCATCCCCGCTCTGCGTCAATCTCCGCCACCGCTCTCAGTGCACCGGGCGCTGTGTAAGCTGTTTTTGTCGTGTGTGGACTCTCAGGGCTCCGTGAAGGACCAGTTGAAAGCCTATGGAGCGTTGACCGAGAAGGTGACGAGGAAATACACCACACAGATCCTAAAGGGCGTCTCTTATCTCCACAGCAACATGATTGTACATCGAGATATAAAGGGTGAGTCTCTCTCTCTGTCTATTCTCTCTCTCTCTCTCTCTCCGCACTGCTGACCAGTGTCAGTATGGCTCAGTGAGTAGCACTCCCTCCTCCTCTAAGTCAGAAGGTTGTGGGTTCCAGGCCCTCCCTGGACAAACAGTGGGAACGCTTGCCAGACAGCGATATTATAATAATAATAATCATCAGAATATACAGCACAGGATCAGGCCATTCGGCCCAGCTGGTCTTTGCCGGTGTTTATGCTCCACATAAGCCTCCTCCTGCCCTTCCTCCTCTAAGCCTTCAAGCATAATAATAACCTTCTATTCCTTTCTCCCTCATGTACCTATCGAGCTTCCCCTAAAATACATCTGCGCTATTTGCCTCAACTACTCCTTGTGGCGGTGTGTTCCACATTTCCGCCACTCTCTTGTGTGAAGACATTTCTTCCAACTTCCCCGTTTGATCTATTTGTGGCTATTTTATATTGGTGGCCTCTGGTTTGGGTTTCCCCACAAGTGGAAACATCTTCCCTATGTCGACCCAATCCAAACCTTTCATCATTTTAAGGGCCTCTATCAGTTCACCCCTTCACCTTTTCAAGAGAAAAGACTCCCAATTATGTTCAGCCTTTCCTGATAGGTGTAACCTCTCAGCTCTGGGATCATCCTCGTGAATCTCCTTCGCACCCTCTCCAGTAGCCTCTACATCCCTCCTGTAATGTGGGGACCAGAACTCCAGTGCAGTAATAATCCTTGCATTTGATTATCGTAACGTCCCAAGAACAGCCGCGGATTGAAGCGACCAATTTATTATTTTTTTTAAGGGATTATTACCCCCAGAAAAGCGATCCAGCAATCGACTAACAACCGGGTTCCTACTTACTTCTGCGTAAACCTAGGCGTGTGTGTGTGTGTGTGGAGTAAGGAAACTGGTTAGACTCCAGCAGTTACCCCCAACGCACACTCTGGTATCCCCCCCCACCCCCCCAAGCCTTGACTCTTGCCAACCTGCGCCTAATACTCTGTGGTAGCAGGGAATGGCATTAGAGTAGAGAACTCCAGTGGGGGGGGGGGGGGGGTGAGTACCAGCACAGACACGATAATAATAATAATAATAAAAATAATCCTTATGTTTGATATCGTGCCTTATCATATCATTGAGATTCTCAAAGCGCCTCAAAGGATATACTGTAAAGTGTAGTGACTGTGGCAAAATGTGGCAGCCAGTTGCACACACACAGCAATGTGCTACCAACCCATGGATTGAGTGACCAATTTTGTTTGGGGGAATTAGCGGCCAGGACACCGGGGGGGAGAGAGAGAGAGAGAGAGAGAGAGAGAGAAAGTGCCTTCTCTTTTCCAACAGCACTGCGGCTCTTTAATGTTCACCTGAAGATCCAGACGGGACCTGGGTTTAACGTCTCATCGAGAAGGACGGGGTCTCTGACAATGCAACTCCCCCCCCCCCCCCCCCCAGCTTAGACCGTGTCATTCCAGGTCCCGATGTGGGGGCTTGAACCCACAATCTTCTGACTCAGAAGCGAACGTGATACCACTGAGTCAGGCTGATGCTCACGTCGGGGAGAGGGCAGGGGGATGGAACTATTCTGGTGTGAACTGATCCTCCCAGTTTCTTTGATAGATGGAAACTTTGTGCTGTGTTTTCCTGTGACTGGAGCTGCGTTATCAGCGGCGATGATGTGGATGTTAAAAATAAACCTGGACCGACTAGGAGCACAGACTCCAGAGAGCTGATCAGAGATAACATTGTCAGCAGCCCCCAGCCAAAGGGACACATCCCTCTCCAAGCCTGGGCGTAATGCAACTGACTCACTCCTCTCACACCCACTCCTCCAACTGCATGCTTAGCTCAGCCGGCTCAGGCCTTCTGAGCACTCACCCCTCGCCCCCATCCCTGGCTGTGTTGGTGTTGATGGTGTTGATGATGTTGGCGTTGATGATGTTGGTAATGATGGTGTTGGTGTTGATGATGTTGATGGTGTTGATGTTGGTGTTGGTGGTGTTGGTATTGATGATGTTGGCGTTGATGGTGTTGGTGTTGTTGATGGTGTTGATGATGGTGTTGATGATGTTCATGTTGGTGTTGGTGGTGTTGGTATTGATGGTGTTGGTAATGATGGTGTTGGTGTTGATGATGTTGATGGTGTTGATGATGTTGATGGTGTTGATAGCGTTGATGGTGTTGATGGTGTTGATGATGTTGATGGTGTTGATGATGTGATGTTGTTGGTGTTGATGGTGTTGATGTTGATGGTGTTGGTGTTGATGGTGTTGGTGTTGATGATCAAATCCACAAAATACACAGTCATCACATTTTACAGTATATTCTGTGAAGCGCACGTTGATCCAATACACACCACTCAGTCAGTCGCCTGTGAATAATTTGAGATGCTTTTATGATCATATTTATAAGAATTATTTTTTATTTTCTATATTAATTTTCTCTTTTCTCTCTCTCTTTTCCAACTCTCCCCCCTCACTCTCTTCTTTCTCTCCTCCTCTCTCCACCTTCTCTCTCCCCCCTCCTCTCTCTCTCTCCTCCTCTATCTGTTTCTCTCTCTCCCCCCACTCTCCCACTTCCCCCCGGCCCCCCACTCTCTCTCTCTCTCTCCCTCTCTCCTCTCTCCCCTTCTCTCCCACTTCCTCCCTCTCCCTCCACCCTCCTTCCCCCTCACTCTTTCTATCTCTCCCCTCCTCTCTCTCCCGTCTCTCTCTCTCTCCCTCTTCTCTCCCCCCTCACTCTCTCTCCCCCCTTCCCCCCCCCCCTCCACTCTTCCACCAGGAGCTAACATTCTCCGGGACTCAGTGGGGAATGTTAAGCTGGGGGACTTTGGTGCGAGTCGGCGGCTACAGACCATCTACATGTCGGGGACGGGGATGAAGTCGGTGACGGGAACACCGTACTGGATGAGCCCGGAGGTGATCAGTGGAGAGGGATACGGCAGGAAGGCTGACGTGTGGTGAGAGCCGGGGGGGGGGGCGAGGGGCAAGACACGGGGTGGGGGGGGGGCTAGCAAGACATGGGGAGTGAAAAATATGGGGGGGTATCGAGACATGTTGTCGATATTGGTGTTGATGATGTTGTCGATGTCGGTGTTGATGATGATACAGCATCTGTGTTACAGCACAGAATGAGGCCATTCGGCCCAACTGGGCTATGCTCCAGACGAGCCTCCTCCTGCCCTTCCTCAACTAAGCCTTCAAGCAGAACCTTCTATTCCTTTCTCCCTCATCGAGCTTCCCCTTAAACACATCTATTCTATTCACCCCAACTACTCCTTGTGGTGGTGTGTTCCACATTTCCGCCACTCTCTTGTGTGAAGAAATTTCTTCCAACTTCCCCGTTTGATCTATTTGTGGCTATTTTATATTGGTGGCCTCTGGTTTGGGTTTCCCCACAAGTGGAAGCATCTTCCCTATGTCGACCCAATCCAAACCTTTCATCATTTTAAGGGCCTCTATCAGGTCACCCCTTTACCTTTCCAAGAGAAAAGAGTCCAAAATATGTTCAGCCTTTCCTGATAGGTGTAACCTCTCAGCTCTGGGATCATCCTCGTGAATCTCCTTCGCACCCTCTCCAGTAGCCTCTACATCCCTTCCGTAACGTGGGGACCACAACTGCACGCAGTGTGCGGTCTCTAAGTGAGGTCTAACCGAGGTTCTGCAGCTGTTTCCCATCACTTCCCTGCCTTTCATTTCTATCCCTCGAGAAATCAACCCTCTAGAAAAGGTTTGCCTTATTATTTTTATGGCCTTATAAAACTATAAAATTATAAATTATAAAACTAGCGTCGCTAGTTTTAGTGAATTGTGTGTGTGTGTGTGTGTGTGTGTACCCCAAGGTCCCTTTGCTCCTCCACCCCATTTAGGTTTTTATTTTCCTTATGCCTTCTACCGAAATGTACCACCTCAGCCAAAGGAGGGTATTTGAACCCAGGACATCCCAGGGTTAGGGAGCGGAGGGAGGGAGAGAGAGAGAGAGAGCAGGAGAATGGGGTTAGAGTAGAGAGCTCCAGTGGGGGGAGCAAGCCTCAGCACAGACACCATGGGGAGAGAGAGAGAGAGCAGGAGAATGGGGTTAGAGTAGAGAGCTCCAGTGGGGGGAGCGAGCCTCAGCACAGACACCATGGGGAGAGAGAGAGAGAGAGAGAGCAGGAGAATGGGGTTAGAGTAGAGAGCTCCAGTGGGGGGAGCGAGCCTCAGCACAGACACCATGGGGAGAGAGAGAGAGAGAGCAGGGAATGGGGGTTAGAGTAGATAGCTCCAGTGGGGGGAGCGAGCCCCAACACTGACACGATGGGGAGAGCTTGCGTACGGTGACACGACCCTTTTGTTCCCCACAGGAGTGTGGGCTGCACGGTGGTGGAGATGTTGACGGAGAAGCCCCCTTGGGCTGAGTTCGAGGCGATGGCAGCCATTTTCAAGATCGCCACACAGCCCACCAGACCCCGCCTGCCTGACACCGTGTCCTCCGCTGGCAGAGACTTCCTCCTACGCATCTTTATCGAAGAGAAGCACAGGCCCTCGGCTGACGAGCTCCTCTCTCACCCCTTCGCTCAGTCCGTCCTCTAGCCTCCCACCACCCCACCCCACCCCACCCACCCACCCACCCGCACCACCCCCATCACCCAGGCAATGCAAGGGAGAGGGAGGGGGAGCGGGTTTGGTGGGTCACCCATGTCTGTCACTTACAAACCCCCCCCCCCCCACCACCACCCCCACACACCGCACACACACACACGCACACGCGAACACCGGCAAAAAAAAAAAACGAGCCTTAAATTATTTTTTTGTTTCAGAAACAAACACACGCGCACTTACACATACACACGTAGACACACACATGCATATATACATGGACACACACGCGCACACATAGGCACACGCACACACACATATGGACACACACGCACGCAAACGCACATGCACGCAAATCCAGACACGCACACACTCACAGGCAACACATAAATACATGCGTACACACACTACACATACACACGTTATACGCGCACACATACATCTCACACACACACACACACATACCCCGTGACGTGGGATTGTGAAACGCTTTCAATCTCTCTGGCTAAATTCATGCAGGGTAGCGTACCAGGGCCAAACACTGACAAGTAGCCCCCCCCCCCCCACACACCCACACACCCACACACACACAAAGGGCTACGCACATCCACACAGACAGACATACACCCAGACACGCACACGCACACACACACAGACACACACTCATCCCACTCACATTATCCCTCCCCACACAAACACACACACACGTATACACACACACACATCTCACTCACAATTGTCCCCCCCCCTTACACACACACATACATACAGACCAACACATTCCACCTCACTCACATTATCCCCCGCGCGACCCCCCACCCCCAACACACACACACACACACACACACGCGCGCGCGCACACGCACACGCACACACACACAGGACAGCCCAGCTCAGGACACTGCATTGTGTATTATTTTTATATATATATATAATTATTAATGAAACGAAAAAAGAGATTTTTTTATGATGATCTATTGGCTTCGGAGATGACGGGCGGACGTTTCTCTGTTGACACCCTGTTGCTCCTGTTTGAGATAGTTTTATAGTTTTCTGCCGTTCCTCACGTTTATCCTTTCCTCTCGACGTGGCCCAGGAGTTTGTCTGTCTGTCTGTCTGTCTGTCTGTCTGTCTGTCTGTCTGTCTGTCTGTCTGTCTGTCTGTCTGTCTGTCTGTCTGTCTGTCTGTCTGTCTGTCTGTCTGTCTGTCTGTCTGTCTGTCTGTCTGTCTGTCTGTCTGTCTGTCTGTCTGTCTGTCTGTCTGTCTGCCCGTAAATACTGTAAATACTGCTTTATTTTGCTCCAGAGGGAGTGGTGTGTGTAAATGTGTGCGTGTAACTGTGTGTGTGTGCGTGTAACTGTGTGTGTGTGTGTGTGCGTGTAACTGTGTGTGTGTGTGTGTGTGTAACTGTGTGTGTGTGTGTGTGGGTGTGTGTAACTGTGGGTGGGTGTAAAACTGTGTATGTATGTAACTGTGTGTGTATATGTGCCTGTGTGTGTGTGTGTGTGTGTCTTTGTGTCTGTGCCTGTGTGTGTGTGTAACTGTGTGTGTGTGTGTGTATGTGCACCTCTCAGTGTGTGTCTGTCTTTCATGTTATGTCCTTCCGAAGTGAAAGGCGCTGTATAAATCCAATTTGTTGTTGTCGTTGTATGTGTGTGTGTGTGTGTATGTATGTGTGCATCTATGTGTCGTGTGCGTGTGTGTATTGTCACGGTTTTTGCAACCCTTAGTAAATAATACGTATACATCTGTATAAAGATTATTTTAAGGCACGGGAGGGGGGAACGGGGGGGAGGACGTTGGGGGTGCGGTCCCTTCAATTAGATCCCGTTTAAGAAACTGCTTGGCCGAAGATTTAGTGGGAGAAGCTGTTCGCCAGCGAGTCAGCAAACGGCGCGCACCGGGTGCCCGAGGGTGGGGGGGGCGGAAAAAAAGCCTTCGCGCTTGCGAGGTACAGTGGCGGAGCCTATAAAAATCAGAGCTGGGTTAGCCTCGCGGTGGCGGTCTGATGGTGGCCGGCCAGTACGCACTGACACGTACAGGATTGCTGTACCCCTCGGGAGTCTTAGCACCGATGCAGCTGCTGCGCTGCTCGTTGTTGTAGTTATATATATATATACGTCGATCCCGTCGTTGCTTATCTTACCTTGTTTTTATTCCCCTTCGCGAGGCATCCCGGGGGTCACTCGCTCGCAATAAAGAGCTGCTGTTTTTACCGACTGCGTCCTCGAGGCTCCGTAGTATTTCGAAAGAAGAACGGGCGTTAAGCGCTCCGGGGAATAGCTGTCGACCTCGGGGAGTGCTGCTCGTGCGAAATGCCCGTTGCCCGGGCACTGGGGCGGTCGGGACATACCAGCGACTGGTTCTGACTCGGTTAAGTTAGCCCTCCTTCGGGCAGGGACTCGCACCGACAGGGTTAGGAAAGCGCACGAGAGCGTTCACTAGCGTTACGCGCGTACAGCGAGGAGCGAGAGCCGTCGCAGTGTGTACGCGCCCGTGTGTACGCGTGCGCGTGTATTTATGCGTGCGCGCATGCACATGACGAGGTGTGTATGGATACGTGTGTGTATCTGTGGGTACGTGTGTGGATCTGCGTACATGTGCGTGCGTATCTGTGTGCGTGTGTATGTGTGTGTGTGTGCGTGTATGTGTGTGTGTGTGTTTGTCTGTGTGTGTGTGTGTGGCTCAGGCCTGGTTTGGACTGAGGTCTGACCCCGAGGAGGACGTTGTATGATGAACCGAGTTGCCTGCAAAACATGCACCGTTCCCATCGCTTTGTAAGAAATGTTTATCGTTTGCATTCCTTTATTAAAAAAAACACACCGAGAGTTTCTTTCTTTCTTTCTTTTATACAGTCCCCCCCCCCACACTTTTTGTGGTTTTTGTGAGGGACCTTGTGGCGGACAAAATGGCCACTCTGCCTTCCCGCATCGCACCCACGGCAGGAAATCTCCCCGTCTCGCTCAGTCTCTCAGTCTCCGTCTATCTCTCAGTCGCTTATCTATCAGTCTCACTCTCCATCTCTCAGTCTTTCTCTCTTAGTCTCAAATCTCTCTCTCAGTCTCTCTCTCGCAGTCTCTCTCTCAGTCTCTCAGTCTCAGTCTCGCTCTCAGTCTCTCTCTCTCAGTCTCTCTCTTAGTCTCGCTCTCTCTCAGTCTCGCTCTCTCGCAGTCTCTCTCAGTCTCTCTCTCTCTCAGTCTCAGTCTCACTCTCTCGCAGTCTCTCTCTCAGTCTCTCTCTCTCAGTCTCTCAGTCTCAGTCTCGCTCTCTCGCAGTCTCTCTCTGTCTCTCTCTCAGTCTCTCAGTCTCAGTCTCGCTCTCTCGCAGTCTCTCTCTGTCTCTCTCTCAGTCTCTCAGTCTCAGTCTCGCTCTCTCGCAGTCTCCCTCTCAGTCTCTCAGTCTCTCTCTCTCAGTCTCTCTCTCTCAGTCTCTCAGTCTCAGTCTCGCTCTCTCGCAGTCTCTCTCTGTCTCTCTCTCAGTCTCTCAGTCTGTCTCGCTCTCTCGCAGTCTCCCTCTCAGTCTCTCAGTCTCTCTCTCTCAGTCTCTCTCTCTCAGTCTCTCAGTCTCAGTCTCGCTCTCTCGCAGTCTCCCTCTCAGTCTCTCAGTCTCTCTCTCTCAGTCTCTCTCTCTCAGTCTCTCAGTCTGTCTCGCTCTCTCGCAGTCTCCCTCTCAGTCTCAGTCTCTCTCTCTCAGTCTCTCTCGCAGTCTCTCAGTTTCTCAGTCTCGCTCTCAGTCTCTCTTTCTCGCTCTCAGTCTCTCTCCCAATCCCTATGTCTCAGCCGCAACACTTTACTGTGAAGCGCTTTGAGACGCCTCAAAGACGCCCTCTCGAGGCGCGATATCCATATCAATCGCAAGGATTGTCACTGTTTTCTTAGCCTTTTTAACGCCGTCGCCGACACAGCAGTCACCACACTGCGCATTAAATCCTGTGAAGCGCTTTCATGGCACCTCTCCGTGGACTGTGAGCCAACTCACAAGTCCCCGAGGCAGGGGGCGCGAAGCCCTGGACCTCCCGGCTCAAAAGCGAGAGTGAAACCGACCGAGTCGGGGCTTAAAATATCCAGTAGGTGGTGCAACTCTACAGGTAAATGGTCTTGTGGTTCCCGGGGACTGAGTTCTTCCCACTCGGCCTCCGTTAACCCTGGCGGTGAGCGTTGGCACGACTCAGGGAGGAGGAAGGTCTTCAGGCGTGACCCGAACATGGGGAAGGAAGGGAGGGGCAAGGCGGGGAGATACAGGGAGAGCGTTCCAGTTTCGGGGCCTGAAAGTGCGCCCCTCCGATGAGTTTCCGGGCGGCTTGGGGGGGTTGTGAGTGTAATCATAGCAATGAGTTTAACGTTACTGGGTACTCCGTGCTGTCAGATTCTGTGCGTGTGCGCGCGCGCGTGTGTGTGTGTGTGTGTGTGAAAAGCAATTTCATGTGCAATTAATTCCCACTGTTTCCATTGATGTGAAGACAGAAGTAAATCGCAAACGGTAGAAACACGGGTTGTTGGGGGGGGAATGGGAGGGAGAGGGGCGATGACACGGGCGAGCGAGCCAGCCAGGGAGAAAGGGGGAGAAAGGGGGGGGGGGCGGCGCGGGGTGACCCCGCGTCCCCCACAAACAGCCGTGGATTGAGTGATCACGTCATTATTTCTGTTTATTTTATTTTTTGGGAGGGATTATTACCATCCGCCCATCGACTCACAACCGGGTTCCCACCGACCCACTGGTGTGCGTGACTCTAAAGTCTCAAGACCCTCCTCTCTGACAGTGCCCTCGGCCACCCTCCCACCTCCCGCTTGTCCCCCACCCCTCTCGATACCAGCCCGCAGTGCCTTGACCTGTTAAGAGACGTTCCCCCC